TCTCACTTCTCACCTTTTTCCTTCTCGATATAGTGGCTGCCCACAAGGAGTAGCTCTGCCTCTAGTTCCTTCAGATCGCTCAGGGCTTCATCATACATGACATAGGCCCCTTGCTGGTCCTGGGTATGCATGTAGCCAGCTCCTAGGCTGTAGTAGTCATCCTGGTTCTCCACTTCTGAGAACTCCATGAATTGAGTGCTGTAGACCTGAGGAAAGAAAATCAAGCCCAGAAGTTACTAGAAAATGAAAAGCTGTATTTTTCCAGCCTAAATGGACCAGGCAGCAGAATTCTCATGCAGAGTGGGCTATCAACACAGAGCTGATGTTCTAAATGTGTATTAAAAAAAACAGTACACACAGAAAAATATATGGCAGAGAGTGGTGGTAAGGAGAGGTAGTTTCTGAGGCAGATAATTAGCTGATGAATTCGTTTCTCTGATGAAACTAGAGATGTGCAGCTGATAGAGCCTCCTGCTAAAGGCAGTCTCTGGAGTCAAGAGTGCTGACTCCAGTTCTGACTGCCAGGATTTCACCCAGGGGAGCCACCTGGCTACAGTTAGCTCCCATTCCCTCAGCCCTCACATGGGGAAAGTGTGAACATACATCACAATAGTTGTGGGGAGGATGTGACACAGCGCAGGCGACCCACTTGGGATCAGGAACATTCGCTATTAAAAATGTTTTTGTTGAATTCTATAGGTACTTCTAAAATGCATCAGCACAGCCTTGTGTACCGAGCTGAACAGTATGTCCTAAAATCCAAGTCTACCAAGAACCTGGGAATGAGACTTTTTTTTTTTTTTTTAGTACCGGGGATTGAACTCAGGCCCTTGCACTTGCCAGGCAAGCACTTACTCTACTGAGCTATCTCCCAGGCCCTGGGAATGAGACCTTACGGGCTGTAATTTTTTTGTAGATATAATCAAATTGAGACAAGTGCCTTATAAGTGAGGAAAATTTGGAGGCACACTTAGGGGTGAGACAGGTGGACACAAGCTACGTGAGGCAGCTGTAGGCCAACAAGTGCCACAGACTGGGAAGGACTGACAGCAGCTAGCAGGAGCTGAGAGGAAAGGAAGGATCTCCTCTAGAGCCTTCAGACACCTGGGTCTCCCGACACCTGGGCTTCGCACTTGCCGCCTTCAGCTCTGGGAGAAAATAAGTTACTCACTTTGTGGTACTCTTACAGCAGCCCCAGGAAAGGCCTCCCAAGAAGGGGTATTTCAGTCAGGATATTTTTCTTGGATACCTGAGAGCTTACTGCTCCTTAAGAATTGTTATGCTAATAATTCTTGCTCCCTCCTGTGCCTGGTGACCCAATCACTCCCAGCTGCTCCTCTTCACGTCTCTTCCCTCGTTCCCAGAACTCCTCCTGCTCTTCTTCTCTCAGGCATTGCCCTTGCTTTGAATCCCATACCTCCCTCCTTGGAAGCATCCCCTGCCTTTGTTCATCTTCCCAACAACCACTGAAACAAGTTCAATTCCTCATGTCTATAAACATCCTCGTGCACTTCCCCAGTGTCTGTCTGTCTCTCTCTCTCTCCTGGTCTAACCACTCAAGATGTAATCTATGCTGTCCGTCTCCATTTCCTGCTTTGGCTGCTGGCCCCATCCAGCCACCTAAACCTCTCTCCAAAGGGGATACAGATGAATGTCCATTTTGTATCTGT